AAATCATCAAATAAGATAGGTTGGAAGGGATCTCTGGAGGTCTCTGGTCTACCACCTCTCATAGCAAGGACAGCCTCAAAAGTTTGATCAGGCTCTAGAGGGTTACAGCCTGTCAAGTTTTAAACATCCCCAGGGATTCTGTGATCTCTGGACAATCTGTTCTATTTCATTATGATTTTTTCCACTAGTATTTAATCACGACATCCCTCACTGGAAATTGTGACTTTTCAGAAAGTTACTCAAAACTATACCAGCTGTGATGTTATAGCCAATAGACAATTCACTTTCCACATCACGCTTACAAATGTTTAAACCACATGGACACTCCTGGTGAAGCTTAATGAAGATGAACACTTAAAATTTCCAGAATATTATCCAATAGGGATATATTAAAGTGCAAAATTCTATTTAATTTTTTTTAATTGAAAATAAAGAGGGGCGGACTCTTGTAATTTCAAATTCTACCTCTCTAGAAGAAAGAGGACAATTACACTTACCCGTGGATGGAATGCTATGGCAGTGACAAAGTCTATATGCTGGAAACAGCAAAGACATTCTCTTCTTGATATGTGCCATAATCTGACAGTCTTGTCCATAGAAGAAGAAAGCAAGAAGTAATTCTGTGAAACAAGAGAATTCCATGGCTATTAAAAGACACAAAAGTAACAGAAAATACAGAAGCAATCTGATTGGTAAAGTCTTACCAATTTCTCTGTTGCCATGAAATTCAACATTTTATGCCTTCACATAACACATTTTATCCAAATTATCATTACTCATTGATGCTTTTCTTAAGCCCAGTACATTGATGTTCAGTCACAGTAAGCTTTCTGAAAAACCGTCAATGGAAATGAATACTTGGAAAGTAGTTAAAGTATTCACAGGTGAATCAGCACAACAGGCTTCAGAGGAGGGGTGACAAACTCTCCTGCTTAAGATCCTTCAGCCAGACTGTGATCTTAAAATTACAACCGTATTCCAAAGTGGAGAATTAACTGAATAAGCTTTATGTGAAACATTTTCAAAGTTAAGCACAAGGTAATTCTCTAATTTTAAGATATACGTATCTCTTCAGCAACTTTAGAATCAGTACACTGCATAAAACCCGTGAAGCATACTGAAGACAAGAAAAGCGGTAACACCATAAATCAGAAATCACACAGCTCAATAGAAATTTCTCCCACTCTAAACAATTTAACTTCACTGTGGAGTACACCATTGTAATTGTTACTAGCTTGATTTTTTTAAGTTTTTTTTTTTTTTTTTAAGACGACTTTTAATTATAGAGGGCCAAGAAGTTTGTTCATTTTATCCCAACTATTTCAGCTGAAATAAGTGTTGTCTCTACAAATCCTTTCTTATAACTCAATGATTGTTTCATATTGTTTAGATGTGTGGTTCCAATGGTAATCAACAAAAGTAGTCAATGAAAACACGGGAGAACTGTGTAGTCTGTATTAAGGTGCCTTACTTTAGACCAGGAAAGATCAAGAAGATCTGCTGTATGTCCTTTGTATTTGCAAAATGGTCGTTGACGAAAAGGGGCATTTTTATCATCTGGGTCTTCATCAACTCCACTGCAAATCTATCAGAGAAGCATATAGAAACATTACAAAGTGTTAGCTGGAAAAATTAACAATAAAGCAATTTCTGCTTACAAAAAGTACAGGGCCAATAACAACTTGAAGAACAACTCTTATGATTTTAAAATAAACAACACTGCAGTAATAAACTGAAGTCAATTTCAAGTTTTGGGTTGTGAAACATAAACCTGAAATTCCAAAATTATGCAGCTCTACATTTTCCATCCATACAGCTTTTATTCAATGGGATAAGCTTGACAGCAATTTGAGCAAACATCTGAAGATAAGCTTTTAGAACAAAGTATATCAACTTTGAAAACTGCATTCCAATTTAGAATATAAACCGTGAGTTGAAGTTTCCATGTTTCTAGTGCACATCAAGAATGATAACTTCCTAATAAAAGTCCCTTTCAGAATAAACAGGTGCAACTTCAAAAAAAAAAAACAAAACCAAACCCAAGTATAGAAGTTCCTATACAAAAATCTCTCCAGCAAAAAAACCCCCTCAAAACAGCATCCCTGGTGTGTGTGGCTAAACAAGCCTATTCACTTACCTAAGGTAAGGAAAGATTTCCAGCACTGCCCCTACCAAAGCAGTACACATTAAATAACACTACTGCTAAAATCTTTGCTTAAACCCTGATTTTGTCATGTTTCTTACACTACAGAAAACTAAAAAGAGAAACAAGAAAGCCTTAAATACATTAATTTTAATGGCAAGTTTACTAAAGTATCCAAACACTCTACAAGTGTCTTAATACTCTTGGTCAGTCATGCTCTGTTTTATTCTACACACGTGAAAAATTTAAAGAGACAGGTTTCATTATGCTTCTGAGTATCCCATTGCTGAGTTTGGCCTTCCTCAGAAAAGACATCATCAAGTCAGATGTTAACTGTAAGTAATGCTCCGAGGCAAAACACTAAGACAGGAAATTCAACAATGTAGGTTTTTTTCCACTTTACCATTTCACTCAGAAACCTACTCTGGCGGAAGGCCGCAGTGAAGCTATGCAGATTTTGTAATGCATTAAGTTTAGTCATGTACTTTCCTGCTTGCACCTCATACACAGAGGATAACAGCATTTGACTGAAGGTGTCTATTGGTAAGACAGTTTGTCTATGCCTCAAAGACACAGGCCAAGAACTGCTTAATGCGTGTTTGGATAAAGCAGTAATGAAGATCTGGCATTACAGAACAATGCAACCCCTCACCTCTTCCCCTCCCAATACTTAGTGTACATACCCCTGCATCTGTATCGGACTTCGAAGAATTCAGACTCTCTTGAGATGGGGAAGGAGAGACACGGCCTAGAACACAGACAGAAACACCACGGTCAACTCTAAGGTCCCAAATAACTGGAATTTCTAGTGTTTTAGAGCTCTAGCGATGCATAGAAAGATACCTTCTGTGTTGTATTTCATTCGCATGTTATTGAAATAGTCAAAAGCGTTCTTTAAAACCCATATTCTTACTACGTTGTCCTGTCCTGCAGATGCAAGTAATCTACCACAGTGAGAGAATTTCATTGTCCAAACAGCACCCTGTCAAAATAAAAAGACAATTGTTTAAGTTACATAAAGTGCCTTTTTCCATGCCAAAAAGTCTCTCTGTAATGTAAACTGTCAAGATTTAGGACATATACAAGATATCACAAGTAATATAAACTGTAAATGAAAACACTGAAAATGAATTGTTACGACTTGTGGATTGTGCAACATACTTGCAAAAACAACTTGAAAGAAACAATCCACAAGGCAGATTACTGTAGGAGAGGAGTTAAAGGAGCTCAGCACTACCACAGCATTCTACATAAAACTGGTACAGTCAGTAACAGCCAGCAAGCCAGGGTTCTGAGTGACTTATAACCTGCTATTCAATTTGTAAAACTGGCAAGTATTTGTAGCTGCACTTGAAGTTAGCACAAGCTGTGCTAACACTTTTTTTTTTTTTTTTAATAGAAATTGTGCTTGGTTACATCAATTCTGGCAACCAAAATGAGTACTACGTATATTTGTTAAATGCAGAATTGGTCTGAGGATTTTGCAAAGCCTGTGAAGACAACAATTCCTTCTCCATTGCAAAGTCCGAAGAGTCAGTAGTCAATAAAACACAGTACCACACCAGCAATATTCCATTTCCTCCTGTTCTTTAATGAACAGCTATTAGGCATTTGACTCTCCCAACCTACCATCCTTTTAGGATGCTTTTGGGGAATTTCCTAGGTTTTAAGAAGTCTGGCATGATGGAAATTAACACAGACAGATTCCCAGTAGGACAGGAAACTTTAGTTGTGAATTATAAGCTTGAACTCTCCAGTCACCAAACTGATTGCTGTAGGTCATTATCCTTAGCCTAACACTTAAAGATGGCGGACTGTTTCGGTTGTTGTCAGCAGAAAAATCTGGGAAGTCAGGCATGCTAGAATGTATTTCGGACTCTGCAGGGGAGCATGCACACTTCCAACAGTGATAAATAAGTAGTTTTTCTGCCTCATTCTCCACAGGCATCTCTGCAAATATCAGATCCTGGTCTTTCCCCTCCCTATCATTCTGATCCACATACCTCATTAATCTCTCCCCACTTCTGCCTCCAGATCCTATCTAGTATTTCTGTTCAATACTTGTGTTCATATCTCTAACAGGCAGACTACTTTATTTGCTGAGTAGGTCAACCCTGTTGCTCTGTGCTCAGTTCCGGTAGTGGAACATAGCCTATTTCAGCTTAAATTTGTAATTGCAGGAACCAGAAACCAAGTACCACTTGATACCAAAACTCTTTCAAGGAAAAGCACTTGAGAATCCCTGAAGCACAAGTATCTAAAGACTCTTTTTATTTTTCCTGAAGATCTGGTTAAACCAGCCAAATTTTCATTTCATGCCAGAACATTATTTTGCAGAATGAAACTGCTCTTCAAGAAGAATAAATCTGACAATAATTTCTGGAGGTCATCAAGTAGACGAAAACAAAAAGTTGACACTCAGGCTAAACAGATTCAGCAAAACCACAGATGAAATTTGAGAGACCTACCATATGCTCTCCACTGAGATCCTGAACAACTTTAATTTGTTCAAAATCGTAAGGTCCCTTGAAGCCATGTGCTGCTTTGAACTTAACTGGTCTTGTATATGGCATCCCTTCATCATCACTGGAAGAGGGATCATCTTGATCTGTATGGAAGACTAAGAGGAACACAAATTCAGCAGTACATATTGCAGCACACATTTAATCTATTAGTAACCATTTGCCAATACTTTTTGGTAGGAGATTAGTCTTGAATTAGCAAATTTTTATTGGCAATATAAAGATCTTAAAGCAAAACAAGAATACTGTTGCATCACAGTCTACAAATACATCTATGCTAATTTTAGGTTGTAGTGAATCCAAACACTTAACGCTCAAAATAAGAACTGCTATCCATTTTTGTTCTGTTCCTTTCTTTGCACCAGGTCTTGCATTCAGCAGATCCTGCGCTAAGTGATTTCTGCCAGTTTAATGCGTGCTGAAAATTACCCATTTCATTGTACTGGTTTCTTCTGACTGAATATGCTGAAATGGCCTGGTAATTTGCACATGAAGCATAAGAATTGCAAAAGAGCTGGGGCAAACAGACAGTGGCAATGTAAGATGCTAAACTGCAGCAATTCTACGGCGCTTATCTCAGGCTGTGGTTAGATCAGCTTGCTGCAGTGCTAGAAATCTGTAAGAAACACTGATGCAACAAGAAGGGGAGAATACAACTGTAGTTGGGAAATCTTTTAACAGGAGCTCAAGCTATTTGAGAATTCTAGTGGTAGCACTGGTTATCAGAAAACAAATTGATTTTATTAAAGTAATGAAGACAACCCCCACTTCTACCTTTGCTGGAGTAACTTTCCAAGAAGGTTTACATTTTGATATCCAGACAGCTTTCTGACAGCATGACAAAAATTATAGTATTCAACAGGTTTAGCTGAGAAGGTCTCTCAACTACTACTTCACAAGAATTCATCCTTGTAACCCACTAGTCTCAGAATGCCTACCAAGCTAAAGCTTTAACTCTAAAAAGCCACATCAACCATGCAGTGGCAGTATACATCCCTCAGGCAGCTTTGATTCCAACAAGCCCAAGGATAAACAGACTATTCTATTAAAAAAAAAAAAAAGTCAGTGTCACCAACCTTCATCTCGAACACTCTTAACTTTATTTACAGCACGTTCGCCATATTCTTCAGCAAGGTGCTTTGCTCGTTTTACAGATTTGCCGAGGAACTTCTTCAGCTGGGTCCTTCAAAAGCAAGGGCACTGTTTCAACACATAACACTGGCAAATTCTCATTTTTTGCTATTATAAATCAATAGTTTTGATTTGAAATGCTATATTATCTCTTTCCATTACTGCTTCTTAAAACGAGCATTTAATTTGCCAGCAGTCATGTATTTCAGTTTAACTGCAGAGCAATGGGCTTACATAAATTCAGGTATTGCTTGTACTTAAAAGGTTAACTTGTTCAGACATCAGGAGAGCTTCAGCTTAGAAAAAAACAAAACCTGCCTTTTCTTTGTAGGGACATGAAACAGCATCTTACGTTTTTTGTTTTAGCCTCCCTCCATCAGAATCGGTTTGCTGTGTCTGCATTTTGTCTTCATCATCAGACTGTGCTGCATCATTACTAGGAAATAGAGAAGTGACTGTTTAATGCAAAATCATAATGAACCTAAATTGAACGAAACATTAATAAAGTAGAATCTGCATTTTAGGATCCATCTTTATTCCTTCATTTGACACATTGGAAATACATGGACATGATGCTAATCAAGTAATAAAACAGATCTTTCAATTCTTAGGCATCACAGTACTAAAACTGTATACACACTCCAGATACCAAAGATATATTACTCCCTTCTGTAAATTCAAAACTTTAAGCTTACTGTGACACTCTCAAAGCTAAGAACTGACAACATGCATATTACATTACATTACTAGGAACTGGTAACATGCCACCTTGTTCTCATACCTTGCTTTGCATAGATCAAATAAATTAATACTGGTTAATTCTGAAACAGAAGTTTGTACATAGAAGAGAGCAGTTCTACAAAAGTGAGTTTTCAATGTCAATACAGCAATGCAAAAAACCTAAGTTGTCTGGTGTATAAATCACATCAACCTAGAACTTTGAAAAAAAACATCTAGACTGACACCATTTCCTGACAGTTAAGAAACTGTATTTTTCTATCAAAGTTTACAAACAGACTCAGCGTTAAACATTAGAAGGGCCTAAAGCCCTGCTGAGGACAGGAAAACCTCAAAGTAGTCAGCTATATTGATGACCACAGATCTTCAGAGCACCAAAGTCTTCTAAATTAAGTACTGGTAAAGCTACAGGAGGTGGTAGCATGAACAACACATAGTACTTGAACATAACTGTTTTAATTTGGTATAGAAATGACAATATTTAAAACAGAGCAAGTGCTAACTGCAGTTCAGCTGGATTTTCTGAGGTACTTGCCTGTCAAGTTCCAGCAACATCACGAACTTCCAGTTAATTTAAAAGAATTCAATAAACAGCCTAGTTCATAGAGAACTGAGAATTAGCACTCACATTAGTCAGAGACAGATGGATTGGGACTCTCTTTACTTGCACAAGAGCTGTCTCCACGTACGCAAAAACTGTAAGAGCAACAGCATCAGAAAGAGCTAAAAGCTACCACCATTCATACCTGACATATTCTTTAGTTCTCCTCATGATATGCAAAGTCAGGGGATTAATGCCTGTTGGCAACTTTTCTTCTGCCAAACTCAGGGGTATTTCTTCACCTGTATCAAGGTTTTTTATCATTACACTTGCTAGAATTTCCTATGGAAAAAATAAGATGTGAAATCAAGATGATTTTATTAGACTCCAAAACCTAGGGCGAAATGTAAATGATCTGATCTTACAGATTATTTATCTTAACGGGAAATTCCACAGGTCACTATATATTGATTTTACAAAGACTAAGTTTAAGTTAAAATTGCCTTTAGCATGTTAGCGCAAATGTTATCACCCACTATATACAGATGAACAATTACATGTTATCACAAGCTTCAACTTCATAAATCAGAAATGCAGCTGTACAGACATCAGCCACTGCCTGACACCTTCTATGCTAATATAAAACATATTATGGAATTAAAAGATTTTGAAGTCCTCCGCTTTTGGATAGTCTAACAGCTGTAGCTTAGATTTAGTCAAAGACAACCTTTACCTACAGAGAAAAAGAATTTAGACCTAACTAATACTACACAAAGGAAGAGGATTTTGGTATGATCTGTTAACGATCATACATCTGTTTAGCAGTAGCAAAAAAAGCTATACACAGATATGCACAAATAAAAACTGGCAGCAGCTTGATAACATCATTAGATTAATGGAATTTATTAACTGAAAAAACTATTTCTTAATAATAGGAAGATAATTTTCCTTTTGCTGAAGTTCCCTCACCTTGAAATCTTCTAACATGTTTGCATAGCTACAAATGCCAACTCAGATCTATTACAGCTCACGCTTTCAAACACTAATACTACATGTGACTCAGGGACCACAGACTGCTTACGTGGACAAAGCCAGCCACTCCTGTTTGCATCCCTGGTCACAGCATATAGTGGTTCAGAGCGCAGAGTGACATGTGACTACTTCAACTACTTTGACAGACTGGAAAACCAAGCACAAGAACATACTATGTACAGACCACTTCATTCATTAATACCTCATCCGTGAGCTCTCTTCCAGAATTAGACCTGGGTCTTTGTGGTCCAAGTACTTCATTTGTTGTTTGGCCATCAGCTGCTTTCCCATTTTCCTGCAATTTTGCAGACAGAACACATTATATCTCTAGCATAACGCTAAAGTGATAGAAAACGTTACAGTTATTGAACTTAAAATCATTTCCCAATACCTGTGCAGTGACTATTTTATCTCCGCTAGTTGCACTTGCCAAATCCAAAGAAGGCTGAGAATCTTTGGGCATGCCTTCTGTCACTGTACTTGGAGTTAGAAGACCACCACCTGTGAAGTTCTCTCGAGAAACTGAAGAGAGATTCATATTAGAAAGAAGAGCGTAACACTTGCCATAGACAGTCTACAGATTGTTAGAATCCTAACATCATACTCCTGAACACCCTGACAAGTCTGATATTTTAAACATCAACTACCACCAAATCTGCCTTATCAATTATATATTTCATATATAGTTGGAGGCACAGGCATGATTTCACATCTAGTCCTCCTAAGCATTACTAATAATTTTTTTGTTTTAGTAATTTCCCTAGTACCCCAGGACTACTCATTTTCATGAGACCTCAGTCTACCTCTTCATTTGTATTTCTATGCAAATACAGATTGCAGAGCTTATTTGAAGTGTGTAGCTTTTTTCAGTTTCTGTACTGATGAGGCAACTCCCCTTTGCTACAGAAGTAGCTATATTTTTAGGAAGTGTTAGCTTACAAGAACATCGACGAATTAGGAACGCGTGTAATGCAAAAAGATATTTCTCCACTTTAAGAAGCTAAGATTGTTGAAAATTTTTTTTTCCTCATTTAGATATCAACTAAACTAAAATCACAGGATTGAATAATTCTTCACTCAAAACACAAAAATAGTAACCATGTAGATAACTAAAGCCATCTAAAATATAATACTTGCCTTCTAAAACAGGTTTTTGCACTTCAAAATCCAGTTCACTCTTCTTCTTCCGGGGTGGTGGAGCTGGTCGTGCAGGTGGTGGTGGTCTTGGAGGAGGAACATTCGTTGGAGGTGGTGGCCGTGCTGGAACAGGCTTCTTTGTGCTAGCAACTATATCAGGTTCTACAGTAAGCTGCCTTGGTGGTTTTGCTGGAGGCATTTCTTCTGCTGTAGAAAGGTCTTTGGTAGATAAATCTGAAGCCACTTCTTCTAAAGCATTTGCCTCTTTCTTGTCTGTTATGTCCTCATTTTTTGACATTTCTTCTTGTGCTTCAGTTTCATCCATTTTATGGTCAGTTGCATTTGTTACTTTTGTTAGTTTATGAGTTTCCTGTTGCTCAGAAGTCAACAAAAGCTTCCCTGACTCCAATTCAGTGTCCTTACACACATTCTGATACGCCGGTTCTCTAGGATCTTCTTGTAAAGATATTTTAGCAGCTAATACTTCTGGAACACTACTAATGATACCTGCTCCAGAAATCCAATCATTTGCATCTGCAGTTGGAACAGTCAGCTCTTTTCCTCTATGGGCTAAAGAATCATCATCCAGTTGTTGTGCCTTCTGGCTTTCTTCTATAATACTGTCAATAATCTAAAAATAATAATAATAAAAAAACCCAAACCATTGTACTTTTCTAGTGCATTTCTAGGCTACACTTACCAGTCATTCTGTACAACACTCACAAGAACTCTTCCACTGAAGAGTATAAAAAATATATTCTGTTTAAAAATTCTGGAGATCTAGGTGCAGAACTAGGCATAACTGAAAAATAAAACAAAGGGACTAATTTCCATTCCTCTTTAATATACTTTGAGAGAAAGTTAGGAAGCAAGAGCTGTTCACTCTTCAGAGTTCTCATGCACTGCTAAATATGATCCTGTAAGTTACACATATAATTCAACACTGGTAAATCCTAAATATGCTTTTAGAACACTTAGTTTCATATTTACCCTTTAGACGGACACTCTTACTAACATTAACAACAAATTCTAACCTATGTTAGTTTCAGGATAAAGACAAATTATTTAATATTTCTAGTGTGATGCCAGAAGTGCAAAGCAGTATTTAACTAACCTCTTTTGAATCATCTTGTTTCATTTCTTGTACAAAGGTTTCATTTTCAGCTTTGTGTAGCTTGCTGTCTGTATCCTGTGAAAAAAACGATGGTAGATAGCATAAGATGATGGCAGTAAGTCCTTCAGTAAGATGATCTAAAACCAACATAGCTACAACAAATCAAATAGCACGAAGGACAAGAATTCTGCTACATTTTCACACATTACTGCTGTCAGATAGACGTTCAAACAGTAATGCACAGTACACATGAAGAGTTTCCACCATACACAGAGAGAAAGCCTGCACACTGTTAAACAAAAAAGGCAGTTATATTTAAGAGGTTTCAACCTGAACTAAAATAAAATTGAAGGAAGCATGAAGTTTAGAGAAACATACACATTTAACAATCTGCAGCAAAATCCATATTAAAATATTTTTTTCTTTATCACCTTGTGGGAAAAGATGCAAGAACTGTATTATCACAACATATAACAGAAGGTGGAAATTTCTAAAAAAAAGTTTAAGTCAGGCAGATCTATCAAGTGGTCACAAATATGCCTTTGAAGTTCTGATAGGGAATCTTACGTTCTACAATTTATTCCTAGTGCACAGTGTCTATTTTTGCCATCAGTCATCTTCGTGCAGATCCTTCTGAAATCTAAATAAACTGCAGCAGAACAAATGAAATGACTGGATTTAAGCAAAAGACAGACGTATTTTCAGAACGTTTGGATGAAAGATTCTATGAATATTGAAAGCTGAGTATACTACTGATGTGAAGCCAGCTTTCTGTTTAAGAAGTATAGTTGAGACATGCAAACAGCATCACTTTGGCATATTCTACCAAAGAATTAATACAAGCAATTCACTAAAGGTGGCCTTGTGTGCCAAAATAATGTAGTAAATATTTGTAATAGTTTTGTCCTATTTAATTTTAAAATAATTAATTAAAGAAATCATATTTAAGATAGGCAACCCTAGAAATACTAGAATTAGATTACACTTTGGGCATGTTAAGTATGGATATTCTATACAAAGTCTTAAAACAGAACTGAAAATATTCTAGCTGTGAGTGAACATATTCATCAAATTCTGAAAAATCTTAGGTTCAGAAAAGCAAGTAGTTTACACTATAGAAGGGTACTGCTTTAACCAGAAACCTGCTTTCACCTCTGTTAGTATGGTCTAGTAGGAACTTCATCATACGCCTCTGTTCTACAGGAAATTACTGATCACATTGCCTATAAGCGTATGTATTAGCAGTATCTAGAGGGGAATCTGATAGAATCCTTGACGTTGGAAAGGACCTGTGGAGATCCAGTGGTTCCAGCTGGCTCTGCTTTGAGGACAAGTTGCTCAGAGATGTGTCCAGTCAAGTTTTGACTACATCCAAGGATGGAGACTGCACATCATCTCCGTGCAGCTTGTTCCACTGTTTGACCATCCTGCACAGTCTATTTGGTGACCAAACCTGCAGATAAAAGCCTGTATTTGTCTCACAAAAGAGAAAAACTCCTCAGAACTGGCTAAAATAATTTAAGTTACTGAGCTTTAAGAAAAAACCCAACACATCTCAACTGATTCCCTGACTTGAGATACAGAACTGCTGTTCTACTCCTCCTTCCTGCCTTCAGATACTAAACTCTCTTCTGTTGAGGTCAGAAGTCCTCAACTGTCTCCCCACAATGTTAAAGCCCCCAAAGCCTAGCTGTTACCATTATAAACTATTTTTGTTAGGCTATTATTTTAATTCCACTTATACAGTTTTGGATACGCACAAGATACCTAATCATATTAAACAGGTATTTTAAAAGACCTCCCCCTATTTTTTTGGACCTTGACAAGACTTAAAGTAACTGTCTAATATAGATATCTAAGAAATTTCTCATTAGACTTTTTTTAGACACGTAGCTAGTCAAGTGGAATCTTTATAACATACTAACATACCATAACATGTTTGAAAAAACCACTCAACTTTTGCAGACATCCATCTTGGAGAGTTCTGACCTCAAGAAATGACATATCATGCAGACAGCTGCAATTATAGAAAAATTCTTCCTCCTTCTCTACTCCCTTGCCTTCCTTCCATAATTTTTTCCTAATCTAAATGCAAGTTCTACTTTGCTTTATCACTAAAACCTACCTTCAAAGGTATGATGACCTAAATACTTAAGTGTAATCAGTGTCTACAGAAGCCCATTATATTAGTTTCTAATTTTATTGACATTAAACTCACACACCTGTTAAACTTTGGACTTAGGAAATATTTCTTACCCTTTCCAAGACAAACGATACCATTAGTCACACATTCACTCAGCTGATATGGTACCAAGCAGAGAAGCAAGTACTTTTTCCACCTTCAAAAACTTAGCTTTGAACAAGTGACTTAGGAAGATACTTAAAAATTAAAAACCCCTACAAGCAACATGCAGAAATTCATAGCTAATAATTCAGTCAACAAGACATTAACATTAGTTTTGAAGTTCATTGATTTCACTGAGTTTAGTCAGAATGATAGAGTGACATTTCTTGAAAGGCTTACACATGTAATACTTAAACATCGAAGGGACATTAAGTAGAACATAAAATAGGGGATAAGTAGCTGTTCCCTAAGAGATACCGTAAAATGCAGTATCACTGCAAAAAGATTATTGATTCAGAGCAGAGTGCTACTGACAAATCAGAAACACTATTTTCACTACAATTTCCCAACTTTGCAGACAAAATATGAAGCCTTCTTTACTCTACGTAAGAGTGTTGCACAGCATCACCTTCGGCCCTTCTGAGACCAGGAAATGAGTGTTATTTGTACAAGGTTCCAACTTCTCACTTTCTAAATGTGTGCCAGATTCAGCTGCACTGTCACTATGCACAGATGCAGCATACCAATTACCTGCGTGGGAAGTGGCAATGCTGTCTCATTAAGCTAAATATAGTGTTTTATCTTCACATAACCTGGAGGGAAGGCTTTCAAAGTACAAACACTAAGATTTTTCTTATTCTGAAGACAGAAGAGAGCAAAGTCAACTATTTCATGTAAATCTGGACCAAAAACCAAGCGCTGCAAAGACTTGCTTCTACTCAAAAATCACTTGAAAGAGAGTAGTCTAGTAATTAAGTAGAGTTCAATTAAATTGCACATATACACTTCAGAATAAAATAGCTTCAAGATATGTTAACATACCCTAAATAAAAGTAAAGCTGGAACTTCAGGAGACATAAGCACAACGATTGGTACCTACAGCAAGGAAAGCCTATAATTTCGTGTCTGTGTAGATGTCAGGGCTACCGTAGCACACCTACTTCAGGTAGAAAAGCTCAACATTATGTTCATCAACAAGTATTTGGTTGATTTTAAGAAGAAACTCACCTTTAATACATGGGATCCAACTTTTGTTGGTGACCTGTTAGAAAGAAAAGACAGACTTAGGTAGAGCTCCAAGAAAAAAAAATATCTTGACAGTAAGCTGTATATTAAACAGTCTATAATACAGACTTCCTTTACAGCGAAGCTATACTTGCTACTTTAGACCAGCCACAAAGTGAATGCTTTTCATAACTCTCTTTGGAGCCTTTTGTGTAACGGAGTGGTAAGTGCTCAACTGTCTACAATGCACAGATCCACAGCTTCTACAATCCCCGAGTTTCTCAGCAGAATCTTCTAGAAATCATATTTCTATCACCCTTTTCTAATAAACTGATGCTATGCCAAGTACTGATGTAAAAACATTTCACATTACAGAGAATTTAAAATTAGCATGTACAGGGAGCACAGGGTGGACATCAAAGAAACCAAAACTCTCAGAAAACAGAAGTACAAATGCTCTAGTAGCTTGCAAACTCTCATCTGTAGAGTCAACACTATCATAGCCATTCCGTCCTTCAGCCTCTCTAGTAAATGTAAGGTCTTGTTTCTAATCATGACACTTGGTATAAATGTAAGTATTTACATTGTAACAGGAGGGAACTAGTTTTGTACTACTTCCCAAAACGCACACTCTGAAACAGTGAATTTACGTTAGCATCCACTCACATGTAATCTCTCATTTCACTAATTACATGAAAGAACAGGGTATCTTAGGGGAATGGTATTAAATAATTACTTCTCTTCAGGTCACCGCTCAATCCAATCAGTGAACGGTCAACTTACTATATCCTCAACTTACATTTTCCACAAGATTTTCAGAATTCTAGCAGATATTTAAATATTGATCACACTGCTTGCTCTGACTACAGGAACTTACTCGTATATAAAGATGTTGAAAGGCTGGACCAGACGATATTTCGAGGTCCCTTCCAAACCAGGCTGTGCTAGGATTCTATTTGTTTGTCAGTCACAAGCAGAGACCAAGTTACAGATTACTTCCTTAAAAGCTAACTACAAATATACTACAACCTGGATTGTACGACCATCCCAGCTGGCTACCAGGGTCAGCGACACTCGACAATCTTGTACCAAGGAACAGAGACAAATAGAAAGATCTCAGTCTAATTTGCCCTTCCTGCCGCCAAAATGATGGTTTCAAGGGACAATACCTTCCAAAAAAGAAAACTATTTCCACTTCATTTTTAAGAATTTCAGTTCTTCTCTCTATTACTTGAAAGCATTCCATCACAAAAAGAAAAGATCACATTCATACAGTGGAGTTAAGAAAAAAGTACAGTGGATTGGTATATAAAGACCGTATCATTTGTAACTAATTAAACAACTTAAACCTAGGTGCCTCTGTCCAGATATAGACACTTAAGATGCACAATATCCGTAACACTGTTTCAAGGCATAATCCTCCTAGAAGGTGCTAACCCCAGCATGCCAAAAGAGCAAAATCAGTATTTTGACCTGAAAAAAACCCCATATATTTTGTCTTCCAAAATATATTGCTGGGAAAGGCCATAGTGTGCGTTGAATTTCTAGTTACTGAAACATCAGTTCCATTATCAACTCCTGGATTTCCTTAGAAATAGTGGTAGAAACACGTGTCAGTTCATTAAATCCACAAGATTACTTTAACAATGAAATATATTTATAATTACATTAATGCCTACGCTTCAGCAAGGCGTAGGGTCCTATCATACAAGGCACTGCTAGGACTTTACAACCTAAATAAAATGCAAATCCCTCAACTGCCAATAGATACTTTTGTTTTCTATAGTGACACTTACCACCAATTAGCATGTCACTGACGGTACAGGAAAATCATTCCTCCATTGGTAACACAAAATACGAAGTTCAGAAGACACTGCTACCCTTTCAGACTTCTTTAGCTAATTAGCTTTGTGGAAAATCTGCACTCAGACTAAAACAGATGCTATTTCCCACTCTCATGCTTTACCTTGGGAAAAAGCTGCCCAAGTGATAAAGGTTACAGAGATTGACGGTATATAATATAACATAGCGCTGGTAGCTTGATACGGCACATATACATGTCTTACCTTAAGGTGAAGCTTTGTCCTTGAAATTACATGTTTTTAAAGCATTGCAAAGCTTCTGTAACCATTTGGCAATAATACCACTTTCAGATCAGTTTACAATATAGCCAAGTAAGTTCACTGGCTTGCCTGAGATTCTGTGAGCTATGTGTTTGTAAGCACCATCACTCCCTTAGTCACGATCAGTTCCTGCTTATGTGCTACTACATTTATAAAGACAAACTCAGTCACAGAATAAGTTTGGTAATTCTCAAGTCTCTTGTAGTTCAACATTACTCTGGAATGGTCTCACCTTCCCAACCACCTGAAGTTACCACCTTCCCCGCTCCCCAGTTTTACTTTAAGGCCACTAGCTTTATGGATGCAGTATCTGAAATGCTTGCATTTTTTAAAAAAGTATACATAGTGGCAAAAGCATCTGAAAAGATTTATATGAAGATAAATCCAATGATCAAATATTGATTTTGATTTGAAAGGTCTGTAGCTTTACAGGGTTATCAGGTTATCATCAAGACCGAGATATGCCACAGAAAATGTAAGGCAAAAACTTAATGTTGTTGTCTAGTATGATTGTTTAGTAAACACTGGGAATTAAAAATTGCTAACAATAGATCTTGTAGACTGCACTTCACATAAAGCACTTCTAACAAGTTTTCTTACATGATATCACTAGAACACCAGTTTAACAAAGGAGGGGTTCAAGGTTATCTACAAACAAAATTCAAAGAAAAATCCCATTTCACCTGCACAAACATAGCCAGATGCCTGATTAATCTGAAAGTCAAATAAACTCCTGAAGAACTTTTTTTTTTATTTATTCAGCTGTCAAATTCATCCTAATACTGACCAGACTACAGGAAGCTGCCATTCCCACGATCAGGTAGCTCCAGCCTAGTGCCTCTTCTGAGTAAACTTCACATTTTCAACACATTGCTGCTAAGTTTTGTGACAGAAAACAAAACACTCAGCCTGTCAAAAAACCACAATGATGTGAATGACCGGCCTTGGTCAAAGCCCAGAACCACACTGCCTGCTTTCCGGGCAGGATGTACGTTGTTACACAGCAGGTGTGCTAACAGGCAGATGGAAAGAGGTTTGCAGTGTACGTATAGCAGCAGTACACTGCTCACAACACACAGGTTCGGCAGCCAGCCCACTAACTGTATTTGCTGGTGTCCTTAGCTTGCAGAAGCACCCAGTGTTTTCCTCCCTCTAACCTATGGCTGGCCTGGAAGCTACAATTATTCGTGATGCAGCTCTCTGGGGCAGTCCACACCTCCAAAACCACAAGGATTCATTACGGCAATGCACTGCTTGGGCTGCCCTCGGAAAGCATTTGGGAACTTCAGCGAACTCAGAACACAGAAACTTGTCTACAGCGCTGCAAGTCACTACATCAACATAACTAACACTTCACACTCCATCTGTTTGCTGCCAAGACCAGTTCTGCATGTTGGCTAAAATACAAAAAGTTGTACTAAGCACGTCCCATGTGTCAACAGGGCACAACTTAACATTATCTATCTTCCTACACAGGAGAAAACTAGATTCTTCAGGAAAAGCAAAGTGACTTGAAAAAGATAGGACTATTGAAGTTAGAATTCAAGAATTTAAATTAAGGTACCAAAGGATATTTCTCATTGTCTACACCAGCTCATGAATCCAGTGCCTTTGGTTTCTCATAACAATTTTTCGGATATGAGTACACTAGGAACAAACTTGCCCCTTACTGGTTAGGCATATGACATTCAAACTATTAGGTTTGGCAGTTCTTGATTTCAGAGTGGGTGGATCACTTTTCTTATAAATAAGATATCAGAGGGTCTGTCACATGCCTGCATCTAAGCAAGTGTGCCTTACTTCATATTTTCCTTCTCTCAAAACTGACATCCTCCTTCATGGGACAGCTCGTGCCTATAAATTTCAGGGTCTTTTTCTAAATCTTTCTACAGTTATAGTCTTTTGAAAGCAGAGTGACAGAGGTTAAATAAGGCCATCTTCTGTCACACTACCTCTCCACTCCTCTGGCTACACAACAAATAGATGCCTTCACTGACCAGTCCACCTAGATAATTTTTCTAGGGTCTAGAAAAGCATACAGGAGCAGACATTGTTTGGGCTCTAGTTATCTAACGGATGGACACTCTTCGCACACTC